TCCTCGTCCAGCCCCTACGTTTGTGAAATTTAATACTTCTCTTCTCCTTCAGCATTTTCACCGATCGAATGTAACCCGTCTGCTTTGGTTTGCCTTTTCTTCCCACATGTTGCTATATTATTTTTTTTAAAAGAAAAAACAAAACAAACCAGAAAAACTCAGTTTTGCTCCTAGTAACAAGCTTTAGGGCATGACTGTTGTTCCAAAAATATTGAATCATTAAATATCCTTCGTCATTCATATCCAGATCTAGTAGCCCAGAAAATCAGGTAATAACCCTTGTTATGGCCTCGTGCAGAATATAACAGACCTAATCTAACCTGCAAGTTCTGACTATACCAGGAATTAGTTTGTTAAGTGCTTACAAGTTCACAATCACTAACAATTTCTGCTGACATTCCCCAAAAATAAGTCAGGTTAACAAGGTGTCATGAGCAACACTGTTTCTGTTTCAAGACAATGTTACTGTCATCATATACCAGTAATTACGGACAGGTGCTCTCTATTTTGCCCAGCCGCGCATGGCCCAACTTGAATTTATTAGTAATGGTCTCTAGGATATCGAGTGACTTCATTCTCCCTTAAAAAATCGTCGATAAAAAGTGCGCTTTTGGTAAGTAAATCTGCAATTTCCCTGACACCTTATAATCTTTCAAATAGGAAATATTTATTCTCCAAATATTGCAAATATTAACCGTATAATTTTGGAAAATACTACCAGCACAACAAGTGGTCGTTATACAATTCGTTAGGCCTGAGAGAGTTTTCCGTTAAAATCACAGATCGAGCCATGATTTGATTTAATTCTATTTCTACAGGACACCCTTGCCCAGAATCATTTTCTTTAACGATTTTCGGGAAAGGCTAAGAAGTCAGTAGAAATTTGTATAAGTTAAAATATACCGGTAGTTTTAACTACAAATATGAAATGACATTTAATGCTAGTTCAGTCGTGTTTATAATCCACTAACCGGTGGATCTCTCGTGGTCTGTTTGTTGAATTTCTAACTACGTCTGTTCCAATTCAGTTGTGATTTTCTTCTTGATTTTGTACTTACCTATCAAGTTAACGCGTTTTTAACAAAATTGTTGAAGAGATCAAGAAATCTGACGAACCGAATTGCATGTCTTTCCGTTCCGGGATACTGATTACAATCACTGATTCTCGAAACGCAGGTCGCGTTAAGTTTTAATTTTATTGATCCCGCCAAATTAGTTTTGTACTTGATAAAGTCAATGAATGTTCGCATTTTTTCTTCCTTAATTTCAATGTTCAAAGTGTAAAGCGGGACTGACTTTAACTTGGATCAGTCCTAAAAACATCTATGTTCTGTTTTGCTGATAAATGAACTGGGGAACGACTCCTGTCACGAAATTTATCAAAATTCAAATGATGGGTAAACTGGAATTTGAAGCCTACCTGGGTATGGCGCAGGAATTGTCTGACTCAAAAGAGTCTGTGCTAAAACAGAAAACCAATTCTCGGAGCTGATTCAGATTGCGCGAATATTGAAACTTGAAGCTGTCTTCAAAACAGCATGGTGTCAATTGGTTTTCTTTCATTGTTTATGTTTTGTACAAATCCCTTTGAAAGATTAAAAGCTGCCAGAACTTCACCCCTAAGCGAGACGAGAGCACGTTCGTCTCTTTCAAACGAGAATTCCCCCGAGACGAATGAGCGCTGCCGGTGTTTTCAAAAAAACGAAATTCTGATTCATATCTCGTGCACAGAATCTGCAGATTTCTATTACTTTTTGACAGTGTTTCACAGGTATAATTATACGTATTTGGAGTTAACCTTTATTAACAAGACATAAAAGTTATCTTAATGACAGATATTACTATCACTGAAAGCCACAAATCAAAAGCCAAACAACTATTGTTTTTGAGGCTCAAACTTGACCCATAGTTTCTGTAACCTGGCTAAATTGGATGAAGGAGCTTCAACACTTACTTTAAGCTGGAGGCAGTTTCTCGACTCTTGGGTTTGAGATTTATGACCTCGTCTGCATGACCAGTCAGAAATTTGTGACGACTTTCTTGACGCAGAGATTCTAATTTCTCACCTTGAATACAAGCTTAGTCCTTTTTCTCTTCCCTCCTGATCAGAGGAGAAGGTGTGGTTTTCAAAGGAGGCCAAGAGCCTGACAAACATACTGTTTCTTTAGTATAGAGACGTACAGTGCCTGTACGTATCACACAGTAATGAATCTGTCAGGTGTTTAACAAATATTCGCAAAAGGAGAGGCAAATATTAGCGAGCATTTACCGAATCAAATAGGGGTTTTAGGTTTCACACACTACTATATGAATCGAAGCATTATTTGGCACAAGTTAAGGATTAAACAAGGAGGAAATCTATGATAGAAACATTCCGACTGAGCCCAAAATACTACCTCAATTAATGTCCTGCTCTACTTCCAAAACGAAGGACTTACAGAACAGTATGACGCCTTACGGTTCATTATAAAGTTTAAAAGCTAATTTAACACTTATTCAATATCTCTTTCAGTCTATACCAGTAGGTATCAGGGATGGAAGTTGGCCTAACTTTGCTTTGTTTCTGCTTTATTTCATTTCTTAGTATAACAGGTAAGTTTTTTTTAAAAAAATGTAGTTTACTGACACAAACTGCATTAATGCTTCAAAATGCGAAAAGGGATCTTTCGAGGAAGTTGTGGCTAGATAGTAGGGACTTTAAGATCCAACGACGCGACGGCGACAAGAACGTCGCTTAAAAAGTGGATTTGCGTTCTTTCAGTCTTTATAACGATTATTCCTACCCACTTACTTTGTCAATTATAGGCGAACCCTCCTGAAGCTGAAGTTCAAGGGACCAAATTAGAGCTCAGAAAGAGAAATAAAATTTCGTCGTTGCTTGTTTACGTCCTCCATAAAACGCGAAATTAGGCAAAAAAACGGGAAGAAAAATGTACAATGCACGCAAACCAATTGTTTTTTTGACGTTCTCGTTGTCGTCCGCGTCGTTGGATCTTAAAGTCCCTAATACTAGGGAGCTGAAGCAGCGACAACGGTGACATCAACGAGAACGGCAAAAAAAGCAATAGGTTTAAATTAGCAAAAAAACAAGTTTGCACGTGAATCACGCTTTTTTGTACATTTCTTTGCCGTCACTGCACCACTATGACGTGAAAATGCCAAAATTCACGTTTCGTGGAGGAGGTAAAAACAAGACTCTTTTCCTGGTCTTCGATACAGAGCTATAGCATTCAGCGCCAGAAATAGTTGCCAACATTTGACGAATTGAACGAGATGGAATAAGCGCCATAAAGTTTAAAGCATTGCGACTACACTTTTTCAGTGACGTTTTTGTAGCCGTCGCCGTCGTTGTTGCTTAAAGGGAACCTCCACTCTTACTACAGAATAAGTTTAAATCGAATAAAATTATGTTGATAAACAAATTTGTTCGAAATTTGTCTTTAAAAAAGTGTTTATATCAGGAAAAGTGAATTTTAAAATCGCTTATTTTCACTTTCAAATTTCGCGGGCGCCGCCATCTTGAATAATTGTGACGTGTTACGGTTGCTCTATTGTTCTGACACAAAGAGCTTTTGTTTAATAACAATAGAGCAACCGTAACACTTCACAATTATTCAAGATGGCGACGCCCGCAAAATTTGAAAACAAAAATAGGCGAATCTAAAAGTTATTTCTTTCGGATAGATTGACTTGACTGTAACAGTTATTTCCTGTGATTTAAAGTTATCTTTTTGTTGAAGTGGAGGTTCCCTTTAAGCTCCTTTGTATTACACCAACCTCGCTCCCAGGGTTCTTTCCCACTCGACCCCTCTCTCGCTCCGGCATTCGTGAAGGAGAGGACCCAGGTAACGAGGTTAGTATTGCACCTAAAACATTTCAGTCTTTAAATTAAAGAGTTAGTAAAGCTGTTAAAAACGCAATAGGAGGCCAATCAGGCTGTAAAAAGGAGAAAGAAAATGTTTTTATATCCTGATCTAAGCTGAAAACCACATGATTAAAATTGACAAATAGAAACACCAAGTTTGAAGCCTCTCTCGCGGTAGTCGCGGGGTCGCTTGTCCCTTTGCGTTTTTTGAGAAATGATCCTTGCGTCTCGACCTCTCCAGAAAATCTCAAGAAGCGCCCAGGTATGACGTAGTTTTGCAGCTATTACTGACAAGCTGAGACAATTATATTATTACCAAATGCCCCGTTGTGGGGGCGGAAAGGGGCGAGGTAACCACAAAATGAGGTAACTTTGAACTGGCATTTTCACTGCAAAGATTTGTCACCTGTTCTTAAAATTATAAAAAGGAGCCTGCCCTCCTACACGAACGGCTCCTGAAATAGCAAGAGATACTAGGTTTCACGTTGGAAGTTCCCACAAGTTGACCGTTTTGAGCTACAAAGATATGAGAACGAGTGAGAAGCGCGAGAAAGTCCACCACTTTCCCTTCTGACCGATTAACAGGCAGCAAACCAAACCAAAACGGACTTTTAGAAAGTATAGACTGCAAACTGCATTCTGTCTCCTCTCATAATGTTATCCATGGCCTTACGACTGCTCAGCGGAATAGTTATGTCTTCCTCTTAGTGCTGCAGGAGCCTTTGAGGTTCCGGGCCAATTTATGAAGTGTTCTTCTAAAACCTAAAACAGTTACTTTGCTTTTGCCGGACATGAACCTTTTAGTTTCTTCAAACAGTGGGGTTGTGCAGCTTGGCTGTAAGCTTAATAAAGGTCTTTGTTGTACTTTCCAAAGACTGGAAAATTTTTTGAGTTTACCAATATCAAAATTAGGCGCGTTTATCCGAAGGAATGGACTGATTAGAATTTTTTTTTTTTTTTTTTTTTGGGGGTTCTGTCAAAGACAAAATCTCAAACCACTAGCTCTCAAACGTTACGACACCGTTAAGCAGTGACCTTGGTATCTATTTCCTACTTATTGCTGCAAACCTCGAATTATAAAACCTATCTCTCTCATAAAACAAAAACTTTGCTGGTACGATATTGTCACACATCATCATCGGCTTCTCTTTTCCTTACAGATGCAAAACTCGAATTAATCTCTTCTGACAAGACTCCTTGTGGCAAAAGTTCAGTAAATTACAATGTCACTCTAGCGAAAGGCGCAAAGGCGGGAACATACTACAAAATGGCAACGGTTGACAAAATGGACGACTGCATAGGGCACTGCTGCGGCTCTAAGAGATGCGACGTCGCCTTTATGGTGAATAAGAACTGTTATTTAGTAAAATGTCACAACTCAGACTCTTGCGAACTCAAGCGGTCTGAAAATTCAAAGTTTGACACAATGCTCTCCATGGTTTCAAAAACAAAAGGGAAAACGATACAAGGTAAGCGGCAATATGTTCAACACATTACAAGCGGCACCAGTCTCTTTTCTTCCTTCTACTGGCCCATTATTTGATCTTCGGGAGGTTTTGCGATACACGTATTTCTAATAATGATTGTGACCACACAGGACCAACTAACCTGGTCATAATAACTTTGATCGAAGCAGTATTGTTATTTTATGATAAAGTGGAAGCCACGAGAACTGTTTATCTAAATGAACTAAAAACTGTCATTAAACAGTCTTTTAAGTTGGATAATCTCAGAGCAAATTTATAGGACCATCAAATAAGAGCTAGCAAAAGGTATGGGGTCAATCAATTTGCTTGACTTTTTGTATCTAGAGAACTTTTTACAGCTTTAGTTTTCTACTTTTTTTTGCTTAGGGGAAAGCAAAGCCGAGCCCGCAGTGGAGGAAAACCTTCAAGAGAAGGCATCAGGAACAGAGACTACCGAACCTTTTATTGTAGATAATAAAGACGACGATATGACAACAGTTACTGCTTTTGGGGTAAGTTTTTTATTTACTTGATTATGTATTCCAAGACCTGGCTCCTCTCAAAAATAAATCAATGCTTAAATATTTATAGTTTTGCGTTTGATCAGTGGAGCATTCTTTAACTCGTCGTACCATGTGATTCTTAAGGTAGATTTCTACTGTCGCGTAATTTACGTATTTAATTTTATGCCCTTAAAAAAAGTAGAGGCACTGTATGAAAGCCGCAAGTGAACGAGAAAGTTGAGCGAAGTTCAACCTTTACCTTTACGCGTGATGTTCCATACTTAGTTCTAATTTATTTACGCGCGTAGAATTTACGTGCGCACGCAAGGAAAAATTACGCGACAGTGGAAATCCACCCTAAGTTTAAATTCCACCTAGTTATCCAAAGGCGGCTCACAACTTTTCGCTACGATTTTCAGACAATTTTGTAAAACTTTGTACAATGAATTTCCTCTCAGCTCTCCTTTTAGTAAGCACCTGTAGACAAAAATGAAATTGCATATTGGATTGCTGGGCACTCCGTAATAAAATGCAACTTCTAATAAAACTTCTAGCATTTGATAACTTGTTTCAGTCACTACGAACTAATTTTCGCTAAAACCCGTAGTAGAATGACTGCGATGGCTATCGCGTTTTCCCGCCAAAATGACGCTACGTCACGTGTGTGCACTACTAAGCATTGAGAAAATCTCGGTCTCGTAGTCGTCCACGTCTTAGAATCCAAAGTCCTCTCTATTCATGAAATACTAATGCATCTTTTATTGCTAGACTGGAAAGACGAAACGATCCAAGCGGTCCTCTGATATAATTGACATGGTCGTAGCCGTTGGCTGTGGTACTGTAGCAGTAGCAGTTGGTGTAGCTGGAGTCATTGTAATGACGAGACGTTTGATTGAAAACAACAAAGCGTGACCTGTTTTCTGATCCTTCCTCTTTTCATAGACTTAAGTGTGACACCGGAACGGAAGGAACATTTGTGTGTTTTCAAAAAAAGAAAGAAAGAAAGAAATGGAAAGAAAAGTATACGTATAA